GATTTTTCCAGGCAACTGAATGTGCTGCACCAGGCCGCCTCATGTTTCGGCCGCTACGATATTCGAGATATCGCGATACATGTATATCTTTGTAATGTACCACTCATTAGGTTGCCGAGAATTTGTCGACGGTTCAAGACCGGTTTTGCCCCTCTTGGAGCTCATCAGTTGTGCACAGTCCCCGAGTTTCCGTCAACCTTATGTTCCACTTGTTCTAATTATTTCTGCCTCAGATACCACTCACATCAAATACCCGTTCTTTTGGAATCAATCCTTCATCGAACAAATCAACTGGACGTCAGAAAATGTATGCTGCTGATTTACTCATGGTTCTCATTATCAAGCAATCAACAATGTATAAGTCATTAGACAAGATGAGTGACTTTTAGGTGATGTTCGGTGGATCCAGATCCTTGGTAGAAGCGCGTTCGGTGGTCATATGATCAGTTCTTGTTTGTAGCTGTCTTAAGGCGAGTATGATTTGCTCACGCACAATCTAATGCGCTGAATTGAAAGCATTAGTAGACAACCGGGAAGAGATATTTGGGTGGGAAAACCTAGACTACAAAGGGTCATGAATATCTCAAGGTTCCGAATACTATAACACTTTAGATGGGGATGAGTGGAGTTCCTCAAATAACGCGTGGATCAGAAGTGAACGTTGGCAAACACTCTCAGTTGCACACAAACTTAATTTGAAATGAGGTCCAATTTAATCCAGTCGAATATGTCGTTCGTGATGGTCGGCTTAAAATGTATTTGCTGCATTGGACGCTTCATGTTTTGGTCGATACGATACTCGAGATGTCACAAAACATCTATGTCCAGACGTCACGCACTACTCATAAGGTTACTGAGATCTCACAACCTCTGGCAGCTTGGTAGAAACTTGGGAACTGTGCCTACCTGGTGAGCCCAAAATTGGGCGAAACCGGTCATGGGCTGTCAGAGAGTTTTTGGCAAGCTTATTAGTAGCGCGCTATACCCAGAAGCGAATTTATTCACAGAATCGTGCGCCAAATCATTCAGCTAGACTGCAACAAAATACTCGTGGTGTTCTAGTATCTTATTTTTACCCCAGCTGAATGGAAAGCGTTTTTAAGGGAGAGGAGGGTATCGTTCCTGATCCAAACCACTGGCGCTTGTATGACGACATTCATATCAAGAAGGAAATCACGGACATGGTGCGATTTGTTGTTTTTCCACAGACCACTGAATGAAACTTCGGAAACGGTCTTCGTTTGTGATCCTTCTGGAAATTTGAGATTATCCGATTTGGGCATTCAACTATCCACGGAGTCTCAATATACCGGAAACGACATGAAAGAGGTTGTGAGTGAGGACAGAGCAAGGGAGTCATTTGGCACCCGGTTGCATTCCTGATCGGTGAATACGGTACCCCAGTATGTTCACTTTTTATGCATACCAGACGATGTGATCCGCCAGCGCAGATTATCCTGCTTTTATATCCAGCTTGTTCGGATTTAGGCGGTTCATTTAACTTGTGGTGGGAAGACAATCACTCATCAGGAAACGGGCATTTGTTTGGACTTTTCTTTTGCAGATGCACATACAGTAAGCGTACTGTCCTCAGTGAGATCTTATGGCAAGTCAGTTCAATAAAATCAAACGAACCTTGGGCATATCTACAAACTCACAAAGCTAGCGGACCAATTTAATTTGGATTTGGACAGAATAGCTATCAGAATAAACTACCTTTAACTATTGAGTGGGCTTATTTTCAGCAATCACAACGCTTTCAAATATTCTCCTCGTGGAAACCTTAATGAGTTGCAAAACGTGGGTCCAATTATTTGTAGTTTGCATACTGGAGTGATACAATGGCAAAAACACGATAGTCAAGTGAGTATTACAATACCGAACCAACTGCACGTACAGCTCCATACAGTAATCTCGTTAAACGCAAAGGAAAAACGAAACAGAATTTCAAGCCAGATGGTTCTCACTTATCTGCCCCTGGGCAATTCACCCTTGCCAATCCAATCCTCGTATCTTGCTGATCGAAGACGGTGAGGAAATTCCGTAGAAATGCAACTCCAAGCACAATAATATTCATGTCTTTTGTTTCGCGATGCTCAAAAGCGCTGTAACAATAAACGAATCCTTTGTCTTTCTTCTGAAAAAAGCGAACACAAAAAGATAGTGAATGGCAGCTGACTTTGTAGATATTCCCCTTATAGAGGGAGGCAAACTGCAAAATATATGTTTACGTCGTCGGCGAATTGCTCGTCACCCTCAGGGAATAAAGATAACTGCAAACGAGATCGAACGCTTCAGATGGTCCAGCCACTTAGGTAAATAAATGATACTAGGAAACATTTGCAACCGAGAAACCACTTCAAACAACGCTGTTTTGTTCACAACATGAACGGTAAAATTGTTTATCAAATTGCCCTCGACCCTTATGTATGTGCTTACCTCTCAGACATTCTCAAAAATAGTTAGGTAACTCTTGTTAGAAATCCGACCGTAAACAGAAACCACGCCACCCATAGTACCCATATTTAACCGAAGGCAGTGTTTTGTGCTTCTGGAAAGCCTGTTTTCACTCCGGCGTGTGTGATTTAGCCATGTGATTTAGCATGCTGGTATCGAACTAGGAATCTGTATCTGGGAATTGCAAAATGACAATGGCAAATGAGGTTTGTTTTGAGATATGAAAACCGAATTCCAACTGTCCGACCCAAAGATGTCGGCTTATGGCGGTCGGGCATCCGGACTGTGATAACCAGGGGGGGCTACACTATAGGATTACGAGAGCAGTAACGGGTCCCCATAAGTGATCAGCATCACCCTATTCATTAAAGTAGCCGTGGTCCCCCCATCCCTCGATAAAGGACGGCTTAGAAAGTGTTGACACATCGTCCAAAGGATGAATGTTGCCACCAGTGCATTATCCAACACAGTCGGAATATTTAGAAAAAAACAGGCGTCTGGTGCTGCTCGGAATGGCACTTACTGTGTACAGTGACTCCCAGTGTCCCAAAATTATACCTTACGCCCTGTGCCCTTGGGCTAGGTCACCCACGCACCACCCTTTGGGACAGACATTGGAGTCAAAAGCGCGGCATGTGGTGTCTAGTTTCTGCAATTAGAAAAATCCGCCTTCTCACAAATGACGCAAACCGCAAGCCAAAGCAACCTGGGACCTGGGGCGTAAGAACCGTATTGGATAAAAACGGAGGGGTAAGACTGAAAGGCAAGCTGCGCTTATGGCAAAAGAAATCTAGCACCAGTGGATGGGCTTAAATGGTTCAATAAGACTAGGCTACCTGACAAAGGAGAACTTTCGTAGGCTGGCTCCAGCTGTGCCTTCTAATGAAGTGGAACCGATCTAAGAACGATTTCGGATGACATGAATCTCATTGTAATGTGCCAATCGAACCGCAGCAACTCAAGAATGATGGTTGTTCGCTTCAGGCTATCAAAGACAAAGCTTCACTCGGTTCATACATCTGACTTGTTTTTGTATATTTACTTGGTATGCCAGTACACATTTGCGTTCTTCTCGGTTGGCACTTCCTTTGGATTTGAAAGAATCCCTAGGGTCTTATTGAATGCATCTTTTAAGTAGTATTTCCGATGATGTTTCGGTGGTTGCGCTTTCGGCACGTTTCCCACTCTGAAATGAGAGGATCTCCCCACCAATCAGCAGCAGTTTGCATTATTTGGATGAACCCCTGTCACATGGAACCAAATCTTTCAACTTTATTTTCGAATTGTGCGGCGGAATTACAGAGACTGACTATAGGATTCGTTTACGTGGTGTCTCGTTTTGTTCTGTATATATATATATATGTATATATATATATATATATATATTACNTTTGTATATATATATATATATATATATATATATATATATATATATTACAAAACCATTAAATTTTACTGGCATTAAAAGTAGAGGTACGTCTCTCAGGCAGAATAGAATCGAACTGGTTCACAAGTAACACACCAATCATAATGTTGCCGAAGAACTTTGGCGGGGTCACGACTGGTTCCATTTTATTTGAGGCTCACCTGGTAGGCGTAGTCCCCGAGTTTTCCGACAATCTGTGAGCACAGATTGAGACATTTAGGCAGATACCTTTATTTGCACACAATAGAATCCAACTATTATTCAGTTTACGAAGATAAAAGTATTCGTTAGTTTGAACACTGGAATGCCGGTACGCAAAAGGATGCAGAGATGATCTATGACGCATCGCATGCTGGTATTTTCAGCTCAAATAGAGGCCGAGGGTGGAATGAAGGTCAAGTTGACTTTTATCCAAAATAGCACATCAACCATCACTTTCAGATGACGAAACCTCCACAAAGAACCTCACGCTACCAACAATCTATGAGTAGCTCAGTGGAAGAGTAAATTTCACCCGATGAGTGAAATTTCCATCTGAGAAGTCGTTGCTCGAGGAGTTAGTCAGCACGTGTGACCACGTGATGTGGATCCCGTGGTTGAAGGGTGAGTGAAGCCATATCCTGTCTAAGTGAGAGTTAATCACACTGCTGATCAGCCGCTCGTGGCAGAAAGGTCACGTGTTCAAACTAATAGCCGGGAGCTCTCGGGTTCGAGACTCTCCGGAGTTTCGTGAGATGCGCACTGCTGATGATTCCCAATAAGGATGAAACAGCTGTACAGTGCTTCTCGGCTTTTCAGCATAGATTGGCTTTAGTCACATCACGAAATCTTCACAAAACACCCAATCCTCCTCACACTATCAAAAACTTACAACTACCCCTAGTCAGGACATGAACAAATAATGCCTTACGAAAACGTTGTCTGCTTAAATTCCAAAGGTAAATTAGTCCAGGTAAATTAATTCAGTTGCCTGAGAACATGATAAACGAGAAGACCAAATTGGTTCCCAAAAGAAGGTATATTCGTAACTTAATCCTCCTTCCGAAAGGTTAATAGAAAAAAAGAAAAATCATGCGGACTTAACGGCACGTTAGCCCCTCAGAAATTTTAAACTTACAATCCTGATGTATTCTTTATAGGTGATAGTTGCTCTGTAATTGCCAAAAACAAACGTGATATCTGGTAGTTGGTCAATATTGTCACACACCACTTCGACGCCTGTTGCTGTATGTTCCACAACTGGAAATCGGCGATTGATATGGTTGATAACATTTTTCGGCCCAATAATAGCCTCTGTTCCTGTATCAAGCGATGCAGTTAAGGAGCGCCTGTAGGTGGCTTCGGTACCAATCTTGATCCTGAAATTTGAAATATCTTCAAGCTATTATTGATCGGTCTGGAACCCAAATCAACTAGAAATAATCGTCCGATGGTACCGGAACTTCTGGCTATAGTTATAGCATGGCAGACTTTACAAATGTAAGAGGCAGATACGTTACTTCTCACTGATACATTCTCCAGCCAGTCGCTGCTTTTGACCAATGAGTCTAAGGTAATCAAACAAGACACCTAATTCTGGAGTTGACCACACTGTTTTCGCACTATCAGTAACGGTCACTTTCTACTATGAATTCTATTGTGTGTTCACCCCTGTTCGCATTCACGTTCCGTCCGCAGTGTGTAGCCAAATAATGCGCCCGATCGTCAACGGGCCGAAGCTTTTCCCAGTTCAGGCTGCTACGTTGTATGCTCTGTTCATTTTCAGAATAAATGAAACTGTATGAAGATCAGTCGCTGAATTTTAGAATTAGTCTTTTCATCACTCTTTCTGGAACAAGCCTTCTGGCGGGCGCCGTTATTGCTGTTAAAAACCACCAGGAGGGATAGAAATTTACTTGAGTGTCACCTCTACTTGAACTCACTGGATGCGCAGCCCTGCGCTGTGACATGTGGTACCGGTCAGTTCATCAGCACAACCAGGGAAGACACTGGTTGATTGTTTGAGGCTTCAGGTTAATCAATCAAGCTACCTAAAGTGTGGTCGCGGTCATCTGCTCGCAACTTCATCCGGTTCACCTCGGTCGGGAAAATTAGATGCAGCATGGTCTGATGCTATCCACTCGAGGAAGGCCAGCTTCCGTAACGACCTCCGTCAGAAGACAACTCTTCGGCCGATACATTCATCTGCAGATCAATCCGGTTTTCACAGGAGACTCACCTGGATCCCAAATAAATCTCTAGCTTATGATATTCTTCTTCAGATTTAGTCCAAGTTCATACAGTTCGGATTCATTTTTAACACACGGCTGATGGAAAACTCGGGAACTGCGGCTATCTGATGAACCATGCGCTGTCGAAGAGTTTTTCAACAACCTCACCAGCAGTATGTTAAGTTTATATGGTTCTTTTTTTATTTGAGTAACGCACTTCGCAACTGTTTTTTTTTCCGGTTGTGCACTTTGAAAATATGTGGCCAAAAACGGTTGGACTAATTTCATGCATTGTCACAAGCTGATGAAGAACAATGGGATGCTAGGAGAAAAAACCCCACAGTTAAATGGATGGGGTTTCGCGCTTAGCTTTTTTGGTATGGCGGATACTCTATCAAGAAGCTCCAATGAGGGGGAAGAGGGCTTGCCTCTTCTATTTAGAAGCACCCACATTAGCAAACCTGGCTGCAGTACCAGCGGTGCCATTTTTCGTATAGTTCGTTTTTCCGAAGCAGTTACTGACACTTCTCGTTCGGCTTTCAGATAGGTCTCCCACACGTCAGGTGAGACTTCACACGGCAAAACTTTGAGCGATACACTTTATGCGTTTTAGCGAGTTCGTTTCCCAAAATAAGTCCAGAAATTTTGACTAGTCAACAGCCAGCGCGTTTTGCACTGCTTACGAAAAAAGGAAGTTTGACAATTATGAAAATTCTAGCTTTGTTTGTCAAGCGACAACCTTTTGGGATGATCACATCTAGTTTTCGTGGGATCTTTTAGAGCATTCACAGTCGCTAACTGATAATCAAACAAGCCACACTTCAACTATGTGGGGAAATGATGACAGCAGGCTGAGCTCAAATAGCATAGCTACGCACTGCATGCCTTGCAAACCTGTAAAAAGTGTTTCAACAAAGACTACACATGCTTGGCCAAGCAAGTAGCTGAAAAGGCCGTCTACGGCCGCAACAAAAGCTGTTGAGTTGAGGTCTTAAGGAAGCCTTTGCGTGCTTCAATAGGTTCTGCGAGGTTCACATAACCCGCTGCTATTTTCGTTTGACCTACGGTGGAGTAAGAACCACTTGGTCACGATGTTAAGGTAACATAAACAATACGTTTAATCACACTTGAAGACTTGGACGTTATTTTGTTCGGTTGAGGCACCGAAATCCTGGTCATCTTTCATCGGGCCTTCACGATTCCCGGTTGTGTGTCTCCTCTTTACTTCAGAGTTGTTTTCAAACCTGAGCATCCGACTATGAGCATTCGGATTTCATCTATAAGGCGCCTAGTGGTATTAATCATTTTACTCTTTGGTAAATAGACTCAGGAGTAAAAAGAACTCCTTCGCAGTATTGCTATCGATGAGGCTATTCTGACCGTTGACCGACGTTAAGTGCATTTTATCATTGTGTTAGCCGCAGTTCTCTTACACCAACCTAGAAACAATTTGCTCAGTGATGTCATGTCACATGACCTGACGGTCGTTCACAGCCTCTTGCTATTCTCACTAACTCATAAAAACTGTGAAGTATGTGGACAGTCCCGACGTTTTGCTTGATCAAGCTGGCCGAATAAAACATCGGGCATCCGTTACGCTACTGTGTTACCGCTATCGTTACTGATCCAGCGACTGTTACCACTACCATCTTCTCTTACGTTACTCGTTGTTCTGATCGTAAAATTTTTTATGCATACAACTAATTTCTCCACACGGAATAAGTTCGCATGCGGTTCATATCTTCGAGCTTCATCGACAAAAGGGACTTTCAGTTTTGAAACTAAAGGCTGTGCGTACTAGAAACCCGTACCATCGGAGTTTGATTCTGCAAGTAGCTTTTCAATAGGACTTTTTGACTGAAAGAATGAGCAAATTCTAACTTATCGGGTCTGACTGAGAGCTTGTCGAAGGTTAGATATTAAATGAATCTGATGTGCCCATATTGAAATTTTAGGAGTTACATACCACTCGCGTGACAGAAGCAAACACCAGTACACTTAACCTTATATTGAAACTCCTAGGTCCCTAATTTGGAGGTACAAAGTCAGATTGTTACTGTTACGTCAATACCAAACGGAATGTACTAAGTGTCTACTAACTGATGAGAAAAAAAGCAAACGTATGAAATCTAGCTAGACGTTATCCCTCGGGACTAATTCTAATGCCTGAAAAGGAGCATAGTCATCAGGAAAAAAGTCAAGGCGTGACTAACAGCTGAGTAATCACCGAATTCTGAAAAAGTATTTTTCTGTTAGGTGAACATATATCAAAAGCAGGGAACTGTCTTTATTATTATACAATAAACTCGGACTCCTAGCACGAAAAATGGTACACGACGGTCTGACCAACCAGGTGTTTTGGGCATACGTAAAGATAGGAAACGTGTTTGTGATGGACAAAAGTTTTCAGTCTCACAGATGGCTTGACTTACTCAGAAAGCTCCAGCCACCAAAAGTCCTCTTCCATGAGCGTCTGGTAGTAGATCGCTTCTGAGGCAAGGCCCGGTAATATTCCGCCAAAAGTTACCTCACCTTCCAGTTTTCCTGAATCGCCCATCCTAAAGAAATAACCAGTGTGTGGACCACCGGCCGAGAACAGTTTACACTGTTATTATGCATCTCTGCAAGAATGTATGGTTTGTAAACATCTAAATTCTGAAAAAAAAGTTTAGCTGTTTAACCGAACAGTGTTGTGTCGTTTTCATCATTTATTTGATTTGTAAGTTTGACAAGGAAAACAGCAGGTGTCATACATTTGGGCGAAAATACTCCCTCCACAAGTAAAGAGGTCAAAGAAGCGTTTTTCCACTTATTCATACTCTAACACATTCATGTATACTATGACATTGTGAACACTCTTGAAGCCTCGTTTTTATCTGTCTGCAGTGTTCTCGTGAAAAGTTAGGGGAGATTGTGTGTTGAATATGGACCATGATACTCTGGCATCACGTGTCATAAACCTCAATCCTGAAAATTGGAATCGAAAGTCACAGTACCGCCGTTGCAGAATTGGTGTTCCCGTAGAGCGAGCGCAATTTCTGATATCAAAATAACAGCACCTCTAAGAGAGTGTCAGGGCGCGCCCAGTCAGAAGAAAAAGTACATGTGCAGAGAGTGACGTATCCCCAAGGTCACCATCGGCACGACACGTCCGGAAAGTTGGTGAGTTGGCGGCTCTCACCAAACGGCTTAGCAACACACGACCAGCGTAGTGGGTCTGAGAATGTTCACGGCTGGAACACCACCATTGGCTGTACGGAGCGAACAAGTGAACGACCATATTTGGCCTATTAGTCATCCTATATATTTACGTAGACGCTCTGTATGTTTTGTCCTGGCAAAACAGCCGTGTCCGCAGTTCTCTGTCTTCTCCCTATCGCGTAGTCTGGCAGGCGCAGTGCAGGCGCACAACCAGTAGTTCGGCCATCACCGCATCGATACAACAGACAGATGTCTTGTAAAATGGTGTGATCTTCTTACCCTGCTAGATAAGTATTTACCATGGATATGGACGAGGTCTGAGTGTTCTGAGAGCTTGATAATGAATAGATAGTTCCACCGTCATAGAACTTACACACACGTTTCTCGATAACTTTGAGTTTATGCACCGTAGCTTTTACAGTCTGTTCAATGGTTCATTTCCGGCAGTTACAACTATCAATCGGCACCCATTACACACGTGTGTGCCCACCCAATGCACATGGGTCCAACGCAGGGTCTCTTAGAATGCTAGATCTCCCGGCCAAGTATCACCTGATCAAGATGACATTAGAACAGTTATTTTCATGTCTCCGTAAGCCAGGATTTCTGGGATACAAACGGACACTTTTTGCTGTCATTCTTAATTCCAATCACCTGATTTCATCAGAATTTCACCAATAACCAGAAAGCCAGGTGTGATGGCATGGAAAACAAAGGATCTGTTGCCGGCATTTTTGCATCGATGGAATCCATGCGAGAAACGTGTTTTAGAACAGATGGTTTCATTATCGGGATTTGGACTCGTAGAGCACTGCATGCAGCGTTTTTGAAGTTATCGATTGTGTAGTGTCGGTTCATAATGACAGAGCTGCTAGTGATGATGGGGAGTTGTAAAGAATCGGTCTACTTCAAACACTCGGTATAAATGTAAAAGGAATATTAACCGAATGCGGGTAGATGGACTCAAAGATTCTTGGAGCTCCAATCGGCGATACCATCCTTGGATAAGACCGGAGATTATGAAAGTGAACCCCGCATTATATAATTTATTTAGACTGATGAGGTTGGCATAAGTAACTCAGCCAAATCTACTTGGGTACTAGGAGTAGTGGGGGCAATGCAGAAAGAGTTGGTAAAATGCATTCAGTAAATGCTGACCTGTATAGCCAATATACGAACGTCATTTGGAGCACATACAGATTACCCCATGCCAGGATAGACTCATGAAAAACACGGACTCCCATCCTCGGACAGAAGCTACCCGGCGTACAAACCGAATTGAAGGAGTACAGACCATAACTCAACGCAGTCCGAAATGAATCAATGGGGTCCGGAGGAAGGTGTGTTCCAGTTAGCCAGTCTCCTCAAACACATCAGCTGGTTTTTGAGAACTACACAAATTCAAGCAGCTAATGAAAGGTAATGAAAGGCTTGCGGGCTAGCCGTTGAGCTTGGTGAAAAGCTCCGAGGCTACCAATATCCCAGCACATTTGCACTTTCACGCAGGCCATTAGGAAGCATGTGCCTTTCACGGTATATATTTCCCTACAGATCATGTCCATTCGCCACTGGCACATATACTATCTTATGGCTCGCATTGATAACTTAGCCGAGTAGACCAGTTTTCATTGATTCAGCGATAACCTGAGTATACTGTGGCGAACTGATCATCGTTTTTTTATTTTACTGCTCACAATCTGGTCACCTTGCTCAAGTGGATCATTCATGCGTTCCCCGAACTGGCTGTCCGTGATAAGGTGAGGAACATTCCTTTTGGGAACCCGTTTGGAAAGAAGAGTACAGAATACAACACAGGTAGCCTGAAGCACGCTATACAGATGATCTCCTGACATGGTGTACATATGAGATGCGCAGAACTTTGTGAGAGGTTCATCGGATGAGTCCAACCGGGTTCTAAGACACATAGTCTCATGCAGCTCATTTTTGATGGATTCTGATTTGGTTACCCTGGCTGGCATGCGCAGTTCAGTGTGACTATTCAACGTCTGCTTCTTTTGGCGATCATATTCTATCCATTTTCGTAAAGTAGTTGATCTATTCCCAAATAAATTTCCTGAGTCTTTTTCTTATCCATTACTCACTGTGCTTCATCATACTTCCAGAACCGGATCATTTTGTCCGGAATTCCGAAAATCCAGTCCAAACGTGGCGTCCTTGCACAAACTCACCTGTATGTGGCGCAGGTGTCACCCTTGAGGTTCATCGATGTCGTCCTCTCCTCGCACGGTAGACAGTTACAAATATTGCGCTCAATCCTCCTGTCCCTCGATTACGATAAAGCACAGGTGCAGTTATGTCAGACGATCGATTAGGCACGGGTATCTGATCGTCTTGGGGATGTGAAATAGACAGCTGATTGCTGACGCCTGCGCTTCCTAACAGACAGCAGCATGTTTCCGCCATCAATATAGACTTATCATAACAGCATTCACCAGAAGAGAAAACAAATGCTGAGATTAACCGTGACTAGGAGTATCCACAGGTGGGTTTGGAAATCGAGTAATTATGAACAATCCCTTAGCGATAATGCGATTAGAAGACGTTCACTATTGGAGCGAAGAATTTCTTGAGCACAAACTTTTCAGGAGCAGCCCAAGCGTTGCTCTTTATGTTTCAAGCTGAGCAGTCACATTAAATGTGGACAAATTCGCCAAGGACCACAAGATCATGCCACGTTGAAATAGCCCATCAGTAAGTGTAACCAAAGCAGAGCATTTTTGTGTCATATAAACGAACAAATCGATTGTTCACGGAGAAGTAGAGAAAAGGCAAGTCGACAGTGACGTCACTGTGGTAAAAGGTAAAATATGTTCAAGCATAGACAAGAGAAGTCGAGATGCAGAGGTCGGGTTCGAACCTCGGACGTTCCACTCGGTAAATCTGCGCTCTAACCACTGGGCCATCTAGCCACATGCGAACCCAAATATCAAGTCAAGGATACCTAGAAAACCATCAAGACAATTTGTCGTAGCCCACGACAATGTCAACTAAGAATCAACCAACTGGAAAATTTTCGGGATCGATTGGATAGTCACCGCCTGACAGAGGTTTAGTAAACGATCAGTGAATTTCGAAAAATACACTCATTTGAAAATCAGTTTAGTTTTCACGAGAGACGCAAGTGAATATCTCGTTTATGACGAAAACTCAGGGACTGTGCCTGGCTGATGAGCCACAAGAAGGGCGAAACCGGTCGTGGGCTGTCGAAGAGTTTTCAGTAACCTTGTGAGTAGTTTCCCTTATGAAAAATCAGTGGATTCATTGCTGCGGAACGTTTCACATCTGGCACAAAAGCTTCGTTAGGTCAAGTAATTACGTAACCACGTTGATCAGGTTCTAAGATAGTCAAGACACCAATCCGTGGGATTTTTTATGACTAGTCGGGTGTCAATCTGAAGTTCCTGTTTGTTAGTTAGTGGGGATGACTAAGATTTACGATAGATTGGTTTGAGGGGATTGTCTTCATGTTTAAACCGGATTTTGCGGTCTTGCCTTTCCAGTCTAGAACACCTTAATGGGATATTCCTCCTAGGGGGACGCTCACGGATTTTGTTTGCATAGGTGTCGGGAAAATTGGATTGGGTGGATAAGACTGGGAACTGCGTATACAAAATAAAATGTAACGACTGCGCGAACGTTTACACAGGTCAGGCGGCCATGGAATTGCGCAACAGAATCGATGAGCAATGCATTAACAGACCACCAATAAACGTAAATGAATATCAGGTGATAATCGAAGCTTGGGTAATGGTAGGGTACGCACCAGACACAGAAAACAAGACAGATTTTATACATTTGAACACTACGAGAAGGAGGCTAATATTCACACCACAGCAACTGGTGGCTGAAGTGGTGGAGATCGCCAAGAATAGAATAGAGGGAATAGAACTAGCAAGCGTGTTGAGAGCGATTTTAGATCGAAGCAGTGTGTAGTTATCAGCAAAACTGTCTCGGTCTAATAGTACAACCCCGAACGAAAAATTGGTAGGCCACATGCTATCAGTCGTAGCTGGCTATCTGAGATAAGTATGTGGATTGGAACCGTTTGTCACGTTTCCGACAGCTTAAGTTGCATTCGTCTCATCGTGAACACGTTGGATCATTTTACGCTTTTGGTGGAATTCGTTGTGACTGGTGAATAACCAGTGGTCTTTTGCAGAGATGGTGTCACTGTGCGGTTTGGCACGGAGAAAGTGGTCACAGATCAGAGCCCGTCCCAGAAGAATCCAGGAAATGCCATGGCACTGAACTATTCTCAAAAGAGGATATCTCTATAACACATTCAAGCCGTCTAGGTCACAGAAAAGATGTATTCTACGTTGAAACATTCGATCA